AATCGATAATCTAGCATTTGCCTGTGTTTATTTGTTACTGGTGGCTTACTGGTTGTATTCGAAGCGGACAAACCCCTTTGGAGTGTATCAGGGGTTGGGGTTCCGAAATTGTGAGTGCGCGGGTCGAGGTGAGTCGACTTGTGCCATCCCGCCCAGAGCATGCGAGTGTTTGGGGTGCATGTGTAAAAATTGCCAAAATTGTAGCATGTGTAAAAATTGCCAAAATTGTCAAAATTGCCATAAATGCTATAATTGCCATTGTCTGAGACTGCCACATCGACACGCGTTGAAGTCTAGTCACTACAGTCTTTTGTATCCTCCTCCTCCTCCCTTTGTGTACGTTCCATCCTACTACACTTACGCCTGCACCTATTGCCGTCCCAAGTACCAAATGAGAAACAGATATCCGTACTCCTACTACGTACTGACCGTCTTGCGACCGAAATACGAGCCTTACATCGGTCCGTGCGTAAGACCGCGGCGGGACTACACCTGGCCGAGGTATTCTTGCGCGTGGTTCTACACCCCTTCGTGTGCAGATCTCCCGGCGACACCCTCCTTTCCCTGCCGCTACACCCCTGCCCTCCCCCTGTTCTCCTCCGTGTATCCCCTCACCGTTCCTTTCTTAGTCTCCCCACTGTGGCCCGTTGCCCCAGGCTGCATCCACTGTCTGAGGTAAGTAGAGAGAGAGAGAGTTCAGAGAGAAAAAGAGGGTGGAAGGAAGGAGAGAAAGAATGATGAAGGAAAAACAAAAAGAACGGATGAAAGGATTTAGGTAGATTACTCCGAAATGAGGATGTGAAGATACATGCAGAAATATGCCAAAATGATAATCCTGATAACTAGCGCATATTGTCAAATATGGAAAAATAATTATTTGACAGATCTGCATGTGAACTGAGGTAACTGAGAAAAAGAGGGTGGAAGGAAGGAGAGAAAGAAGGATGGAGAAGGAAAAACAAAAAGAAAGGATGAAGAATTTAGGTAGATTACTCCGAAATGAGGATGTGAAGATACATGCAGAAATATGCCAAAATGATAATCCTGATAACTAGCGCATATTGTCAAATATGGAAAAATAATTATTTGACAGATCTGCATGTGAACTGAGGTAACTGAGAAAAAGAGGGTGGAAGGAAGGAGAGAAAGAAGGATGGAGAAGGAAAAACAAAAAGAAAGGATGAAGAATTAGGTAGATTACTCCGAAATGAGGATGTGAAGATACATGCAGAAATATGCCAAAATGATAATCCTGATAACTAGCGCATATTGTCAAATATGGAAAAATAATTATTTGACAGATCTGCATGTGAACTGAGGTAACTGAGAAAAAGAGGGTGGAAGGAAGGAGAAGGAAAAACAAAAAGAAAGGATGAAGAATTAGGTAGATTACTCCGAAATGAGGATGTGAAGATACATGCAGAAATATGCCAAAATGATAATCCTGATAACTAGCGCATATTGTCAAATATGGAAAAATAATTATTTGACAGATCTGCATGTGAACTGAGGTAACTGAGAAAAAGAGGGTGGAAGGAAGGAGAGAAAGAAGGATGGAGAAGGAAAAAAAAAAGAAAGGATGAAGAATTAGGTAGATTACTCCGAAATGAGGATGTGAAGATACATGCAGAAATATGCCAAAATGATAATCCTGATAACTAGCGCATATTGTCAAATATGGAAAAATAATTATTTGACAGATCTGCATGTGAACTGAGGTAACTGAGAAAAAGAGGGTGGAAGGAAGGAGAAGGAAAAACAAAAAGAAAGGATGAAGAATTAGGTAGATTACTCCGAAATGAGGATGTGAAGATACATGCAGAAATATGCCAAAATGATAATCCTGATAACTAGCGCATATTGTCAAATATGGAAAAATAATTATTTGACAGATCTGCATGTGAACTGAGGTAACTGAGAAAAAAGAGGTGGAAGGAAGGAGAGAAAGAAGGATGGAGAAGGAAAAACAAAAAGAAAGGATGAAGAATTAGGTAGATTACTCCGAAATGAGGATGTGAAGATACATGCAGAAATATGCCAAAATGATAATCCTGATAACTAGCGCATATTGTCAAATATGGAAAAATAATTATTTGACAGATCTGCATGTGAACTGAGGTAACTGAGAAAAAGAGGGTGGAAGGAAGGAGAGAAAGAAAGGAAAGGAAAGGAGAATATTACCCCGAAATGAGGATGTGAAGATACATGCAGAAATATGCCAAAATGATAATCCTGATAACTAGCGCATATTGTCAAATATGGAAAAATAATTATTTGACAGATCTGCATGTGATGGTAACTGAGAAAGAAAGGGTGGAAGGAAGGAGAGAAAAACAAAAAAAGGAAAGGAATTAGGTAGAATATTACCCCGATATGAGGATGTGAAGATACATGCAGAAATATGCCAAAATGATAATCCTGATAACTAGCGCATATTGTCAAATATGGAAAAATAATTATTTGACAGATCTGCATGTGAACTGAGGTAACTGAGAAAAAG